AGAGGCACTCAGTACTCTGTATTTCAGCATCAATTCACAAAAAGACTCTCAAGCTACTGCCCGCCTCAATCGCTCGGCTACTCTACTCGCCAAACTATCGGTGCTTTTCCTTCCCGTATCACTTATGACCTCTTATTTTTCAACCCAGCTTAGTGATATTGAAGGCAAGTATTCGCTGTATGATTACTGGGTTGGGTTTGCGGTAGTGGTATCGGCGTCATTCGTCTGCTTGTTCTTCTTCAGCAAATTGTTGATGTGGGTAACAGAGACCCTGGATATATGGGCGAAGGCTTTAGGAAAGAAATCTAGGCATATCTTTGTCAGTCTTCTGAGAGGCTTTGAGAGGAAAAAAATTAAGGCGAAGGGGAAAGGAACGATTAGTGGTAAAGATGATGATGATGTGGATGATGAGTGATTAGGATTCGAATCATGACTTGGCTTGGGTATATAGGCTTTCTTTGAAGGCAAACTTTCGGATGGGAATAATGGATTTTATATGGGTTGTACTGAAAAGGATGGGTTCAAACAAAAGCTAGGCGTGGCTATTTTTCCCGACAGTTTTAGCTATGCGATGGAGCATACCGCATGTATCATCGTTATCATTGATTTTTGCCATAATCGATATATATATTTACAAGAGAATAAGGAAGGGAACGAATAACAACATTGCTTTCAAACTTACAGTAAGGCATAACTTCTCCTGCGGAACCATATGAGAGTGTCTGCCTTCGACAGAGCACAAATTGTTTGTGGAATTAAAAGCCTCAATGCTACATGACCTCTTCAAGTTTCCAAGCTACGAAGTGCTATTTCCAGACCAGTTATCGGAGACTCGATGAAAGATCTTGCTTCTCATCTAATTCGAAGCATCTTATTCTAACCTGACAGACTTTGAGTATAGATACACATACCAATTTCAGAATGCAATACCAACACGATGTATTACTTCTGTCGACGTGCTCCACATCCACGTTCATTGTCGAGAGATTGAGTAAGCACGGCGTCGAGAAAGAAGACACCGATGCCCATCTTGATCAACATGTTACTAATCCGGATTATCGTCTAGATTTGAGAATATCGGGTTGTTCCATAGGTTTGGTTGCTGCGAATACTCGACGGTGGTTTTTTGATGTGCTTCGAAGCTTGAATATTACCCAGAATTCAAAAATTGGATGCTTCGACTCTCTTCAATTGTGGGGACGGATTTGGTCTTTAAAGGAAGTTCAATCCAAGAGACATACTCAATCTACCAATAGAATCAAAACTATGAAATCGAGTCAATCAACCTATGCAGGAACCCCAATCCCTCAAACCCCACACATTTTCCAGTCTGCAATTCGTACAATCGAAGCCTCTACTCGTAACCCCAACACCCAGTCTAAACAACCGTAACCCCAACCACCCAACTCCTGTAAAATAAATCCGACACCATACTATATACTATATGAGAATACCCGATACAAAGTACCCTATTCCCCATTCCTCTTCTCCAGATATAAACACCGCAACCCTCCTCTCAAAAAGATAGAAAAACAGAAAAACAGAAAAACAGAAACGTAAATATCGACAAAACGATGGGATAAAGCATAAGTCGATAAAACAGACAGGAGTATCCTGCGCCGCGTTTCTCGGGTGCGGTTTCTCATCCACATATGTGCAAACGTATGCATCTCATCTCACCTCAGATAGGTAGGTATATATATGTTGAGAACTTTCTCGTCTGCATGTGCTCCAGCCATTGTGCCTTAATTCCTTCCTGGTGAGACTCCTGGCTTGCATATTCTGGAACACCTAGGAGGAGGGTAATACAGATGCACCAGGTGCCAACCTATGCATCTTAATATCTATTTAGATATTCCATCTAACAGCGGAGATAAAATCATATCCGTCTGTTGTTTCACTTGATCACGGAGATACTGTACAATATCTCCATTCTCACTGTATTCTCATGCTTGCACAACAGATGAAATATCTTACCTACCTACGAAATGTGTTGTTAAGGGAGGGTAGGTAGGAAGACTGTAACAGGATCGAAATCTCGAGTTTAACCGCCTACCGCTATTCTGCTGTCGGGTCTGCCATGCCAAGGTTCTCTCACATCCACTTATCGTTCCCTTTCACACCAAGACTTTCTGATACATTGAGCGCGCTGCGCTCAGGAGAAACCAACGTAACATCAGCACCCATATTGCATCTTCCATCTTCCCACTCATCTCTACGAGTATCCAGCGGGTATTCAATCATCACCGCAAAATACGCAGCCGCGCAATGCGAAAACCAAGCATGCTAACGAAACGCCTATTCATTTACATTCGCATCACACTCGTCATTCCCAGCACGTCCCCGTATCCGATGCAGCTTGTAAGGTTGCGATCTGTGTTCACTAGGATACCGTAAGTGCTAACTATAGCTAGTAGTTTGCTGCTAAAAGCCATCTAAGAAATACTTCACGCACTTCGTAAAGAAGCACCAATCGCAATCGTCATCCTCTCACTGCCGATCTGCAGATTCAGCCTTGTGGATATTAGGTATCATTATCTGCTCTCTCGTCATGCAACGGAGACGGCACAGCGCACCTCTCCGTACGCATCGACCTGGCCAGTCAGTTCTTTGGTGTGAGGTTAGTCTCCTCAGAAGCAGAAAATTAGATTAGACTTTGAAATCGTATCCCGACGAATGAAGATAAAGGGTGATGCTCGACGCGCGAGAGATAAGCGAATTCCATTCCCGGTTTGCGTTTGCCTATGGCAAGATTAAATACTGGAAATACCCATCTCGTGATAATAAATAATGAATATTTAGATCTAGCAGCCAAAGCTAGCATAAAAATCGTCGATCCCTCAAACTTCTTCTACACAGTCGATGGTGCTAGCAATAGCATCGCTGATGTGAGCACGACATACCGCGCCCTGAACTTCCTCTTCGGGACTTACCTCGCCTCGCTCCCGCATGCATCCTCATCCTCGCTGTTTGTCTTGTTCTCAAACAAAAAGCTCCCCTCAAATGTCATGTATTGACATGTCGGCTTATGATCCTTCAGTCAGAGATTGATTGTTTCGGGGCTCATCTCACTCACTCAACGTGCCTACTGCATGCCAGCACGCCAACCTGTCCGCTGTTGTCAGATCTTTTCTTCCTTGTGCTGATCCACAACGCTGTGGGTGGCTGACGCTGGCCCGGGAGTTTCATTAAGGTTATTTTTTTCTTAAGAATCTTTGGTTGCTTGGTACTAAGATGGAATGCCGTGGTATCTGACCAAGTGCTAGATAGCATTGGTTACTGGTAGCAGACCCATTTTTCTTCGCATGCATTAGTTCAATGAACAGGTCGATTCTGTCAAACTATGGACGAGAATTGGGCCATAATAGGCCAGCGAGAAACATAAGAAGCGACCGTAGAGCTGAATAGGGGTTGGTAAAGAGAGATCTTTACTCATTTGAATATTCACACCATGATTTTATTCACGGTATACTAAAAATGGTTAGGAAAAAAAGGAAGCCAAGACTTGGGCGAGATCAAAGTCAAAGGTCTCGCCCCCGTACCAAACATTTATTTGTTTAATCAATCGTAGGCTACAAGATACCAAAGTAATTAAACGGTTCATACCCATAAGATACAGGCTTCAAAGCCTGTATCTCCACATGAGATCAGAACGTTTTAGCCGGTCCTACCCATACCCATCCGAGCAGACCAATTAGATAGGGGAAATTTACAGAATAAAAGGTTGCCTGATGAGAATTCTAGACCGTACACTATACAGTGTGTGGAGTGCTCCACAGTCTCCATAGTCTCCATATAAGAAGGCTTTTTCCAACCGTCAATCTTTTCCCAGACATTAATCCCTACTTGTTAGTGCCAGCGGGAAGAGGCTTTTGAGAGGCTCCTGCTCCGTACACTACTGAGACCTTAAATGAACAGGGAACGAATCAAAGATTCCATACCCCAGGATACATAATAACAGTGGTGGCTTCCTGTAAGGCTTTCTTGACCATTATCCCTAGTCTCCAGATCCGTCCGAGGAACCGTGCTGGCTCGTCTTGAAAATTCTGGATTCGTAACCATGCTCGCGGTGCTCGCTATGGAAGCAGGATGTAACCTTAAAATCCGACAATGTGTAATCTAAAATCCTTGTATTGGGTAGCCGCGGGGAAAGAGATGTTGCAGTGCATACGTCTACCCACATCCCTGGACATGTACGATGCATACCCAGAGAGACGAATAAGAAAATCTTCACTCCTCTGTTTATCCATCGTAACGACATAGCCAATAGGGGAAAGGGGAATATTTACCAAGTATGGGAAATACCGACCAACTTGTGAAATGCGTGATTTTCTGACTTGATCTGACACTATTATTCCCTCCATGCATTTTGCACACTGACTCGAAGTCGAACAGCGCGGCTTGAATCAAACTCCAAAGTCGCATTTCGAAATATCGACATCGGCAAGTATCGTTGCAACTTCCATCTAGATCTAGACTAGTAGAGTGAACATGGTTCAGCCGGCTTAAATCTTACCCACTCACTTACCGTCCTTTACCGTTGCCCATCGGAATTCCGACTCCGTGGTTCTTCCCCCCGCCTTCCCCCGTGCCAGCCGCTCTGACCAGATGTTCCAAGACAAGACAATACAATGTCTACCTAGGTATTCACACGCGAATAGATACTTGAGTAAATTCGTCGAATCTACGAAATGTGTTATAGTTCTCATTTCGGGAGCTCGATCTCCTGACTGAATATTCAACACGAATAGCGCACCAAGTGATATTAGGCTTATGCTACAGATCTGGAAGAGTAGTGTCGATGCTCCAAAACTAGCTCGTCTGCATGTCACGCCGGAGCCATCTGAATGTGAGTGCAATGTAACGTAGCCCTGTCGATACTTTAAGTTCAATTCGAGCCGTCTCGCCACTGTGTACCGACCTACACATACTACACTAAGGAAAATGCCGTCTGATATTTAATAAATCAATGAACGATAGCCGCGAATACCCAATATCAACGAGCACCTAGCTTGTTGAGATCTAAGATCTCAATACAACCATACATACATACGTACATGGCGGGGTAGCTCAGTGGCTCAGTAGCTTCCAATTGACCAGATCAACTCTGACAATTGATAAGTCTATCTCTTCGTTGGGACCCCGTCGATGAACAATATTCGAACCTTGCCACTCACACCTCACTCGGAAAACTCCTTATGCTAAGGCATTATTGGCAGTTTTGACATGCTTGGGAGGTGTAGCGGTATTGTCGATGGTGTACTACGCGTCTCATATGTAGATTCAATGCTCGGAGTGAAGTTCCGGATTATACCAAAGATTATCATGTGTTGAAAATAAGTCGATTAGAATATCCGGCTAGAGCTTATCCTGATTAGATCTTCTTGGACTCAGTCGATTGTCTGATAATCTATTGGAAGATAGGAACGACATGAAATCTCTTGGTGTACCCCTCAAACTAAAGTCCACTAATTTATCGCGTGCAAGTTGCAACGCCGTAGTACAGTACCAACAACTTGGCCCTCGGACCCTTGGTTATACCTCTTCTATGGTTTTCATCACATGCATAGATAGGTAATTCAAGCCTCATCAACACCATTTTCAAGAGTAGGCTGGTAGAAAAATCAAAATCAAAATTGGGATCCGATTGCCAAACACAGACCTGGTATTCGTCTCATGTCTATCGGGCCCAGAATGGTCTCTATACATAAAACCTCTAATCCAATAAAAAATAATACATACTCAATATGCTAAACGCCATTCGCTATGCTGTGGTATATTGTAATGCTCAATTTCACTCCGTATTTCGTTGAAGTCCGTTTTCATACCCAAATCCCACCCTTTCAAACGGCACTCCCAAAACTCCTTCTTTACCAATTAGGTAGAGGGGGGGCACCTCGTTGTGCTCTCCACGCATTGCTTCTGTCCACAAAATCCCGGCCGAGTAACCAGCCCCATCGCTCTGATAAAGGTTGCGAAACTTCCCATGATATCTCGTTGTAAGGATTGTCTCCCCATATGATGATTTGCCCCGTGTCATCTGCCTCTCCAATGCAACTCCCAAAGTCCTGAATAAAACTTGGCGCTATATCTGCAGCTAAATTCATCAGTCGTTCTCGCAATGAAGGAGAAGCGATCATATCAATAGCGTAATAGTGAGCTTTTTCGAGTTGTGACTTGTTGGGCTTGAGGCTTGGAGGAAGCATGTCAGTCATGGAGCGCAGAAGGGCGAGATGACGGTCTGGAGAGGAGCCATCTACAATAGCAGGGTCGGAAAGGAGTGGACGGAAAAGTTCCCGAATCTCAATGCAACATCTTTTGCGATCGTATGGCACCGTAGCCACCAAGACACTTCAGACCATTAATACCACCCATAAGCTGCGTCGTCCATAGGAGCTACTAACTTTTGTCTTGAGGAAGATGCCCTAGGTTGTTGATCGGTAGCGTTGCCACTGCCGCTGGCTCGAGGGACGCTTAGAGAGGGGTGTTGAAAATTTGAAGGCCCCATTGCAGATTGAGCATTCCGTGTGTATCCTGATGTATCAGGTGAGCTTTGTGAGTTATGTGGACGGAGCCCGGATTGATGTACCATATATGGCTGAGAAGATAAAGCAGCCGAATCGGCATATGCATATGTGGATGGTGAAATCATCGTCGATGTCATTGGTATTGAGCCCATGGACATCATCTCTGAGCTTAAAGAAGCCGGGGGACTACCGGCATTTGAAATAGATGCGCCAGAAATAGATGGGGATAAAGAGTATTGTCGATGATCGGAAGGAATTTGTCCTACTGGTTGAAGCAGGAGACTTTGTGTCGTTGAGCCGTATAGTTGCGCCCGAAGAGTTTCGTTTTCTCTTCTGAGTTCGTCATTTTGATATCTCAAGCGCTCAATCTCTTCAGATTGCTCCGAGCTCTGTTCTTTTTGGGCTTGCTCGAGGTTCTTGAGGTGTTCCTTTCTTCTTCGGCCTGGTAAACTCATGATTAGTTTTTAGTTACTCGTAATGTAGACCTTAGAGTGCATACGGAATTCTCTTTGTGCAAGACGATTGTACTGTAACTTTTTATTAGTCTCTGTATAGTAGTTGCCTATAGGAAAGCAATATACCTCGCGCTTGCGTTCTTCTTTATCCGCTGAAGAATCCATTGCTGTTGAATAAAAATATTGCCTAGAGTCGTGGATGGTGGACGTGAAAGTGGTGGCCATGGTTGTGTTGGGTGATGCCTAGATGATATATAACAAAAACGGTTTGGATGGAGAAGGAAAGTGAGTTATATCAGTCATTCCTTCAGGTCCGCAGTCAGTGAGATCATCTTATCCTTGAGCACTAGCATTTACATCCTACCAAATATGCCTCCTAGGCGCATGGATCCATACCTCTCCAATTTAGGAATGGCTATCGTGCTAATATTCAGCCTTGAATCTCTAGGACTATCCCTGATCTTGACCAGAGGTGGGGGAAGCCACCGCTTTTAACAACAAACTCCACCCGTTATAGTCTTCAGGGATGGGCGTGTATATTCCCATGCGCTCTCGACTAGGATTAGTTTCGACATAAGCGAGACACTTAGAAACTCATTTCTTTGATGATTCGTTGAAGGAATCAAGCGAATGCGAGCTTTAGCTATTGGCTCTAGCTTTACGGAGTGTGTATGTACTCTGTAGAATGCCAAATTCAAAAGTTTATACATGCTTACACAAAGTAGTAATAAATCATGTCCTCTTGAACAATGGAAGAAGCCGCGCACTAACACTTTGCTCTTCTTGTTTGCTTACTTTGGCTTTTCAATGTAACCTTTAGATTTGTCCTCAGAGGTTTTTTCGTCACCTGTCATTGCTATCCCAGTATTGTCGTACAAACAGACTAACCTCCAGAGTATTCTTGTGATCTATCGACTGTTGAATCATGAGAACTGCATCTATGTGATTAGCTACACTATTAGACACTTGGAACTTCAATATAGGGTTAGAGTTGTGGTTAGCTACGTATCCTGCGAATCCAAACACTTCAAGGCGTGCTATTTTCGCACCGTGACGATGATCCTAGGCGGTATAACTGATGTGTTAACCTCTGTAAGGCTAAAAGAATGATGATCCTTCGAGGTGATTTGTCTAGAGGACCTCAGCTCCATGAAAGCTTTGAAGGTTTTCCCAAACCCGATAGAGCCAATCAAAGCATTGCTCAACGCACCAATCAGCAGCTTCAAGCTAAATCGAGCTAAATTAATCCAATCTAGAGATTCGTCAATGGGAAGATTCTTGATTTGACAGCCTACTGATTATGGTAAAGAGCTAGGGTTGAATTGGCATCATCACCTTGGGGTCAGATTAACAAAAAGCCATCAAGTTTTATGGAACGATGTCAGATTCTGATTCTGGAGACAATGAGCAGCATGTGCCATGTACATCCGGGCCTATATTCTTACAAGGAGGTACATCCGGTGTATGTACTCGGGTGTCCCAGGCCCATCATTACTCGAGTAGTATCTGATTGAATTATTCTTACCGATTGTTCACTGTGACATTGACGTCGAATTAACGTTGTTGCCACACGAAATCGTAACCCAGCAAATAGGAATTCATATGTTGCATCGGATATTTTTAGAAGATATTTCGTTAGATTGTCCCTGGTTCCTGGAACTGGACCCAAAACCCGAATTTGCCTCACCTAAATGGTGTTCCCAGCAGTTGCTTCACAAATCCTAATCGTGCATGCAACAACCTTTTGATTTCAATTGTTAATGATAAAAAAAATGAGGGTGTAGTTCGTTCCGAGTCAAATCAGTAATGCAAGACATTTTGTCGCACAAAAGTACCGAAAATATCTAAGACAGGACTTGAGAGGCGCAATAGCTATCAGCCTTGCCTTTGCTCTAGTAGGATAGTGTGATATCGCAGATATGGGGTAACGGTCTATAATTGATAGTGTCAAATTAGTAGCGTGTGAGAATGTGGTATAGAATGTGGTATCAACTGAAGAGGTTTATGTGGTTATTAGATCGTCACCACCGCCCATGATAGATAGATTTCAAGTGCTGACATACAAAAGTAAGCATGCAGATTACACGTCACTCATAAGATATAAGATCCAACAACGGTGTTGTAATCTATAGAAGGTCACATAATCATGATACAGTGCATAGTCGTGAATGTTTGAAACGACACGCACTCTGAGGTCAGAACCCAAATAGGACATTGATCTATTTTCTTTTCTCTCTCTCTCTCACTCTCTCTTTTTCTTCGGGCTGAAAACCCAACGGCTTGCCCCTCAAATATTACTTTTCTTCCTGGTGTTTATTAGTACCTACTGTGCTGTACTCGAGAACCGCTTAGTTGTGGCATTGACTGGTGTGTCTTGCTTGGCAATCCTTCAACATCTTGATGGCCCATTCCACGAATTAGTACAGATTTTAACAAGTAAGCTTGAGAAAATCGGGATTGGTTGCCATGGAATATCGACTAGCCGCTCCTTATGATAATTCAACAATGGTAAGAATCGACGTAACGCCCCGGAGCGCTACCTATACTCGAGTAAGTAGTAAGTAAGTACACGGCCCAGAATGCGGTGGTAAATCAAACTTTGGATTTAGAGAGTTTGCCTGGCGCTAATCGCAAAGGAGTAAGTACGATACGATACGAAAACCACTACTGGCTGCTCTCCACACGGTCAATCTTTTCACTATCTAGAGACTAGACATTCGCTACAGTTATCCGAATTGGGTAGTGCGAGCTAAGGGATAGACTGGGTGATTGTTTAAGTATCTGGAAAATACCGGTCACTGCCAGACTGCCATGGCCACCACACAGATTGACAATTCAGACTGCAGATTTTCGGGGTTCCGTAAAGTGTCACAATAAGGCAGTTGTCTCGCGAAGGTTTAGCCGCCAAATATAGATCACTATGGCTGTTACAATTTGAATCCAGCGAGTCTCCAATTCTGTTCCTCCGTTGACAACCAGAGCTGATAATAGCCCCGGCAATGCAGGAAATATAGGTACGTATGATGCAGCTAAGAAACCTAAGGAGAGGATGTGGCCGTGCATCTCACTAGGTGATGGTGCTAAGTGAAGGTATGAATATAGATCTCTAGAATCATGAGCCGCGTGGCACAAGCACGGAGCAATCATGGCGGCATCCTTCTCCATGGATCCAACGGATAGGCCGTAATGCTACCACACGCGGGGATCGTAGAGAGGCGTAAGCCGAACCTTCATTTCCATCAATACAAAGGGAGGCGAAACATCCATAGCTCGATCCATATAGTACAGAATCTTGTCTGATCTTGTCTCATCTTTTAAGGCTGACTCGGTATTGACTATAGAGGGTGGACTTCTTAGATCAAACGAGGCAGTTACCGATGAAACATCCATGTTACCTCTTCTATTGATTCCTTTCCGTAATTGATCTTCGTTTGCGTACAATACTACATTTGGAGCTTGAGCCTGGGTACTGGCCGGTTCCGAATGTCACCTTAGCATCGGGCTTATCCCATGATGCACAGTCATCAATTTAAGCTTGTTTTTACTATGTTGCTTTTGACATTTCCTCCCAGTCTTTTCAGTTAACCTTAATGTGAAAGAGGATGCGGCGACAGCACGGCATTTACTTGAAAGTTTCTGTATTGCGAATCGTCACTCTTTCTTTCATGCTTAAAATCAAGCTATGTACTTTTGAAACTTTTTAACTTCATTAGGTATCTCGAAAATTTGTCGTTGAAGACTCCAGTGTTCCTACCGGGCTACGCTGCTAGGCGTTGAAGCCTCATAAATATGCAAGTCGATCTAAAAAAATTCTAAATGTATGTTGTGCATCAACTTTTGGGGGATAGTTATGCGTCCTGCGCCCATCTTCGCTCTCTCAAAGACATTTCCTTGCCAGAAGCCGCTCGACTACCATCGTTCTCTCCCCTCCAGGCCCAGTATTCTCCCAGTCTGATTTCTGCGTATGCAGCATAGTCAAAATCGATTTGAGATATCGTGGCCTGGATCAATGCCCAAATCCCCCAATAGAACCCTGGAACCGCCCTGAATATATCCACTTCGATAAACATTCTCTGAACCTCTGCTTCTTCGTCACAAGTTTGCTTCAATTGAGCAAAATAGTTTCGAATATATTCCCGAATGAAATCGAGTCTTTCTGCGCGTGTGGGCATGTATTGATGTTCGCAATCAAATCCTCCCCACTCCGCGAAATGGTTGGCAATATCAAAGGCTGCTGGAGAAGGAGTGGCATATTCGTAATCGATGAAACTGACTGTTTCTACTGCAGCGGGGGTAGTAGTGCCAGTGGGTTGGGGTTGCACGATAACATTACCACTTAGAAGGTCGCAGTGGGCAAATACGAGCTGGAAAATGTCAGCACGGTTCTCGGCGGCAGGATGTTACAGCGGGAGTTGCATCGTTATGGTAGCACTACTTTGCGTCCAGAGACAACTATGATCGCATCGGGTTTCACGAAGGTCACTCACACTATTTTCACCAAGACCAGGTCGATTACTGAGCTCATCAACCAGGCGAGTCAGTTCCTTTTGCAAAGTTGCCTGTCGAGTCTTTTCTACCTCTGATCCCACTGGAAGTGCGTATATCCATTTTTGCATCACCGTCCAGACATTAGGGGCTGGTTTGCCAGGAGCGGTATTGTCAATAGCAGATTGGAGAGCAGGCTCCATCTTGCTTAATGCAGCTGGGAAAGCAAATTGTTCACTACCATTTATTTCTGTGGGTTGGACCTCATGATTCGTCGCCAGACAAGGAACAACTGCGTGCCACTCTGCCAATCGTCTAGCTACTCCACGCCAAATTCTTTGCTGTCTGAGGTCTGCTGGACTAGTAACCGCTCCTCTAATGAATCGATATAGCATTCCATTCTTAAATCGGGCAAGTAATGCTGGCGCTAAATTGTATTGCGTAAGTAACTCGTGATTTTGAGTCTCACGTTCTCGGTCGATAATTAAATCGGTTCCTTGGCCATAAGCCCGCAGCAGAACTGCCTCATTATCAATCTCTTCCGTGGTGAGCCCGGGTCTGTTGTTGATAACCTTCAATAATGTGTTTGTTATGCCATCCGTAAATCGTATGAACTCGATTTTTCCATCGGTTTGTTCCCATTCGGGGCGCAGAGTTAGGATTAGACGTAGAGCGGATGTTTGAGACTCGGCGGAGTTATAAGAGAGGGGGATGAAGCGAATCTTGCCACTCGAAGGAGTATTCGGCGTTGATATTGTGGCCATGATGTTTGTTTACGAAAGGAGCCGGCCGCAAGCGAAAGGATTCAAATCGATGCAGAGTCTTTATGCTGTTTCAAATCTATTAATAATCTGTAAAATGATAGGATTTCAAAACGGACCTACTCGAACTGGATTTGTCTTAAATGGTATAGGACTATGAGGCCCTGGGGGGGAGAATAATGTTCGTACGCGATTGACCTACAGAGAACCACGTTGAACAAATAGATGCTGAATTTCGACAGGTATGAAAGATTTGATATTCGAACACCTCTATAATATATTAATATCACCAAAATATGATGGCTAGGTGAAGAGCAATAGGAGTGCTCTCAAATGACACTTTTGCGCTGCTTGCAATTGTCTTGTGTGTGTGTGTGTAGCTTTGAGAAATGTAATGCAATGTTAATCAATTGAGGTTCAAAAACTTTCTGTTTGGTTCTTTAAAGTGTTACAACTAGACAATGTTCCAAGAGAAAGGGTCGAAATAAAATGGTGAATAAAGGAGAAGATTAATCCAAGATGAGGGGATTGGGAATTTCCTGTTATTTTCCAAATAGGGTCTCGTGCTCTCTAGGAAGACCCTGAAAAAAGATCCCGCTTATTAGGTAGGCCCAGGAACATTCCGCATAATCTCAACAATCAGGAAGGTGTGTTTCCCGCACTAACCAGAATCAGAATCAATTAGGTAATCATTAATTGTTTACATGTGATTGTGATTGTGATTGTGATTGCGGAAATCTCTGGGGCGTTGTAATTCTCTTCAACTACCTGCGAAGTAGTATATCAAACTCTCGTTGTTCAGTTAAAATAATGACCCCCTTGAGACAGACTGCTTCATATCTCCTTGTCCATCGGAATTCGGCATATCGCAAAAACCATTAAAGATCATATACACAAAACAAGGTCTTAATCGCCGCAAATACATACATGATCTGGAAAGCAAAGCTAGGTACAGCCTTAATGATGATATCTACTTGTGTTCCACAAGAGATTGGTAGTATCCAGTGAATCCGAACTAATGTTGAAATTGATTATAAGTATATGTGTGTATATATATATGTATACGTATGCCTCCTGACATTTATTTGGAATATACCGGGGTGTCATAGCATCTTTCTAGACTCTCTGTAAAACCCAAAGCCCCTTGGTGGCTCGCTTCACACTCTGTGTTCTTGTCATCTGCCTTCTCATCGGAACATTGGCACCCTCTTCAACATCTTTCTCTTCGCCTTGTTCCCTTTCTCTTTCCCTCCTTGCCTCATCCTCATCCCTTATTTCTTTCTCCCTTTCACCATCTCTTAAGCTCTCCAATTCCTTGATTTTCCAAGCCCTCAGGCCCCACATACACAGTGCAGCTCCTATATACATACATCCTGTATAGATCTGTGCATGTAGGTATATATCCCCAGATGGGGCTCTCAATTTTAGTCCAATTGGCTCAGAAAAAGTGCAAGGTATCACGAGCACTAACCAGATAATAGATAGAGCCGAAGGAAGGACTTTGAGACCGACTACCTCTGCACCCACCGGGGCGACTGTAGCCCAAAAAGTGCCTGATACAGTTCCGACAATAAGAGCAAAAAATATGAGAACTCCGTATGATTTAGCGAAAATCCAAATAACGAGACAGAATAGCCCTGCTAGGAAGGTGCAAGTGCCCGCCATATTGATTCGCCCAGTTGCATCTGAAAATGCTCCTACAAATGGCCGGCCGAGACCTTGACCAAGATTTAAAATAGCACCAATGACCGAACCTTGCTTGGCTGAAAGGCCGATACTCCTCGCGTAATTAGGTAAGGAGAAGAGAAGAACGATATATGCGAGCATACTGAAGAATCCCCATCCAAGTAAAAGAAAGAATTCGGGCTTCTTGAACAATTGTATGTCAAAAGCTTTCTGGACAGATCCAATCGCATGGTTTCGATCCCTGACCAGAATTGTACATACGGTGTTGACTGCAAAAGCCAAAATAGCCAATACTCGGAAAGCCCAACCGAGCCCAATGGATTGAATCATTGCATTTGTCGCCAAGGAATATATCAAACCTCCCAGCCCACTTCCAGCTGCTGAAATGCCATTGGCTAAAGATCGACGTTTCGAGAACCATTGTGGGACTACTCCAACGCTACCTACGAAGAGGAAGCCCATACCGAACCCAAAAGCGACACCTTGTGATAGGAATAGATGCCATATCTCATATGCGAAAGAAGCCCCAAGAAGCCCCGCTGTCTCGAGGACAATACCGATGGCTAGAGTGACTTTTGTTCCGAATTTGCGCGTACAACTCGTGGCTACCGGTGCGGTGATGAGGGCTAAAGAGATCGATAAACCGCCAACAAACGCATATTCAAGGGAAGTTGCACCAGGAAAAGTATCACTCGCAAGGTAGTGAGCAAGGAAAATACCATAAGACTAATAGATTCATTAGCAACGAAAAGCATGAAAAGCTTGCTCACTAACACTATTGACCCCCCAAGTATGCCCGTTGATCAAGAATACGCTTGCGACACAAACCCAGCCATATCCGCCATCAGGAGGTACATCCACGGGGCTCGAATCCTCAATTCTTTCTAGGTCATCGGTGTGATGCTTTCGATCTTCCGCCAGAAGATTATTATCCGATGGGCCCCTTATGACTTTGTCCACATTCTCCACCATATTCGCATTGTTTATTTCGTTGTTGTCATCTCGTCCTGACCGCTCATTGTTGATGGCACTCATCTCATACAGAAAGGTGTATCCTTGAAGATAGATACAGAAGGAAATAAATCAATCGAAAAGAGCATAGATAAGATATACACGAAGAACGGAAACAAGTACAGATTAAAGATACATATCCGTGAAGATAGATTCCAAAGGAAATGCTAAGGAACCTCTGTATTTGAGGAAGGCAATGACCTTCCCACTTACCGGACCGGCGCATCAATATGATTGTGAAGGGCGCAAAAGTTTTAGTCACGAAATGCTTTTTCTTACCTCCCCGCGAAGCTAACAGTGCTACTGGTATAGAATCGGAAATAAGATATTGAGAATCCTTCTTCAGTAGGAATAATTGAAGCCGATGGCCCGTCCATAGCCCTCGCCACCAATCAACTTGCTTAGCCATGTGGACTGTGGATACCTACCAGAATGTACTGGGTTTATTATCGAGAGATTGATATACTTCGTATTATGATGGTAGAGGCTGTGTACACAGTATATATTGAATGTATTGGATACATTGAAGAAAAGGAAGAAGATGAAGATGCAAGGTCAATGTTATGGTGTTTGGTAGAAGGACCATGTACGAGGGGACAAGGGGAAAAGGATCGAGAAGAGAAATGGAAAGCTGCTGGCGGAAACAACCAGTACGAAGGTGAAGGGTTATACCGCCTTCGTTAGCCCAGATCCGTTTGGCCGGGCAGATTGATTTAATTGGTGGTAAAACAAAAGCGGTGTACCATAACTCACAGTTAGCATGCGGTGTACCTTATCTCGCTTACATAATCTATCATTGTCGTAGTACCATTCGCTCTCCCTCGTATTACTAATCAACCCCCCTTGTTGTATTCGTTTTCCCCCAAATTCTCCATCAATTGGATCCATAGCAGAAAGAAGAAATCGAGGAAATCGAGGAAATCGATCGAAACTTCCAAAGCTCAAGGAGGAGAGAAAGAGGAAGAAGGATTCGAGTACATAAAGTGTATTTTATGAGGTTCTGATTTGGGAAAGCATGTCTCCATAATTTAGATCTGATCTAATACCTAGGTACGTGTTGGAGGCTCAAATCCGAGAGAAGGTTGTTGCTGAGACGACTGTTTAACCTTCAGCCGATTATTGACTTCGGCGCGAGAGCAATAGAACCAACCTCCACAGGTAGGTTGTACTGTGTGATTTATATAAGAAAACATTGAATGTTTGAAGAATACAAAGCGATACTTGATTTCCTCCCTATTACTATCAACTCTATAATCACAGACCTATAAAAAAAAGTATATGTTATTATTATTGTTGTTGCTTGTCTCTCTTTACTGTCTCTTTTGTTGATAAGCATTGTGTTCCTTTTTACTTTCCCCTCGATAATTTCATCATCCTCTTCCTCCTTTTTGCGATCATACTATCTACGATATCCTAAGCAATACGCACGAATCACGCCTCGAATTACATCTCAAACATTATCACAGATACTTGGAACTTCCACATTGGATGGAAACTCTGACGCAACACACCGCCAACAAATCCTCGCTACACTGCCATCGATACTTAAAGCTTCTTTGCCAAACTATAATTTTTTGAACCAACTTTCTTCAACTTCGAATTTTTACAATGTTACTGAGAGGGAAATCCAAAGAGCCAACCGACCATAATGTCACTCCTCCTGGGCCATCGTATATGTCAAACGATCAATTTGGTAAGCTCGATCTATCTTCTCTCTTGTTTGCAGCTACCGGCAAAGCTCAAGGCCTTGAGAAATGTTGCTGCTTCTTACTGACAGTTGACAGCGGACTACTTGGCAGATCTGAGAAACAATCGTGTTGCTCGTCCGAGTGGCGCAAGGCCTCCCCCTCCGAGTAAACGGCGACAATCCAACTCAATATCATCGGTATCATCAGTTATCACCCCGCAGACAAATGCCCCACCAGAGACCCCAGCTTCTGTCGATCCTCAACCGCGGCCCGGAAGTTCATTTTCTCGCAGACCAACTCGAACTTCTGTTGGATCATATTCTTCCGTCAGCTCTAGAGCAGGGCGATCCCTTGTTCAACCACCACCTCAAGAGCTTCCTCTCAAACCTTCCGAAGTTGTACCCAGTGCTACATATATCGAACGAGGTCTAAGATGGATGGAAAAGGAGGAGGCAGCGTCTCTGCGAGAGGCTATGGAGGATATGGATCTAAACGGAGAGCACGACGACGAAGTGCGGATCCATAAAGCTGCGCAAGAGGAAGCATCCGAGTTGGTCTACACGCACCAGTTTGGGGATAAGTTCAAAAATCCTGATGCGCCGTATCGATACAAAGACCATTTAAGAAAGAACAGTTATGCGCGTGCAAGGACTCAAAGCGTTGGACGAATCAATAGCCCTGCTGTGGCTACGGAGCTTGCTAGAGTTGCAATTCCAAGAAAGGACTCAATTGTGAGCGATGAAGATGGACCAAAAACCCCCGTAACTTCAAGGCCTTCCTCCCCATTGAAGAACAGTGTTACTCCAGAACCAACGTTAAGTGGATCCCTAGATACCGGTCGAGATGCAATGGCTCAAAAAGCTACAAAGACTTACGGCAGTATTAGCCGACTGCAAAACGGAAGAAGAATGAGCGGTGGTGGCAAGAGAAACATTAGCGGCGAAATCAAAGGTAGCTTTACTGGCGAACAGATTTGGGAGGAACCCCAGCAAGAAAGCACGAACGATTCCGATCGTGGTCGACCCATGGATGGCCGCCCTACCTCTGCTTTACAAATCAAACCTCGAAATCCCCTCAATCGTGTTCAATTTTCGGGGGATGTTCCACGATCCAATAGTACCCCGCCTGAAATCACCAAAAAGATATCCACAACCGAGATATATAAAAATCCACCAACACAGTCAAGAAATCCCGCATATACTGCAAATACGCCCCCGGCAAATGAACCAGATGCTGTGAAGGAAGAGATTCCCAAAAAGAATGGTGTTGAGATCAGAGGTGATGATATACGTCAAGCGACAAGCATGCGTCTTAGTGATCGCAGCCCCAAGCTCCCCACGCCCACTGCAGTCAGTGATAAACCTGGCCGTCCAATTGTAAGCTTTGACAAAAATTGGAAGCCGCAGGAGGCTGATGACAAGCCAGAAGTGCGAAGAAGATCGCCGTTCGATCGCCGGCCAAATAGCCAAAAGCAAAGCGTACCTGCTCGACCAGGTCCGACGCCTATCACATCAAACAAGGATTTTAATGCACCGACCCAAGTGAGCGTCCCAGTTCCTAGTATAAGTGTCGCAGAATCAACACCGTCAGTCCCTACCTTAAAATTTCCTGATTCCCCTCAAATTTCTATTTCGGCTCCTAGTGTTCCAACGATCATTGAACCGGGATCAAGCCCAACCAAGTCAGCACCGGCTGTACCAACGATAAATATTCCAACTATCAACGAGCCAGTATCTCAATCTGTACCTCAAATACCCACGATTTCGGAGCCTGGCTCTTCACAATCAAAAGCAAGACCGCTTCCAGATCCCAAGACTGCCTCAAAACGCCCCAATCCACGGCAAGCCCCCACACCGATTCCTCGAGGCCACTGGTCTCCCGCTGCAGGTAACCGAGCCACAGCAACTTGCCATCAGTGCCAATTACCAATTGAAGGAAAAGTTGTAGCTCTCCGTGGTGTACCCGAACGGTTTCATCCGGAATGTTTTATTTGTTTCACATGTGGCACCGCTCTTCAAGACCTCGAAATTAGCCCCGAGCCCGCCGTTTCTCGCGCAGCACGTCTCGATCGTATAAAGCGTCGTGCACAGGGAGAGGCAATCCCTGATACCGAAGGTGAAACAGAAGCCGAAGACGGAGATGCTAGGTTACGATTCTATTGTCATCTCGACTGGCACGAACTCTATGCTCCTCGCTGTAAACACTGCAAAACTCCTATCATCGGTGAACATGCCGTCGCACTCGGGGAACACTGGCACTATGGTCATTTCTTTTGTGCAGAGTGCGGAGATCCTTTCGAACAAGGAATGACGCATATAGAAAAAGACGGATATGCCTGGTGTCTCTCATGCCAAACCAAACGCACAGAACGCAAAGCCCCAAAATGTAAGAGATGTAAGAAAGCCGTTCTAGGTCAATACGTACAAGCACTAGGCGGTGAATGGCATGATGAATGCTTTCGATGTGGCCATTGCGCGGGTGGATTCGATGATGGGCAGATTTTCCCTTGTCAGAGAGGAAATAAGGGGGAGGGTGGTGAAGTAATTGTACTTTGTACGGGGTGCATGGAGAAAGAATTAAAGCAATGAAAGGTTGAATGACTGATGTGTATATGGTCGCATCTGTATTTCTTGTCTGACGTTTTTCACTGCAAGGCTTGGGTGGGTTGGGCGGTCGTGTTCATTTCATTAGTGATGTCTTTTGCAAGCATGAGCGATCGCGTTTGGTAGACAACAAGCAAGCAAGCAAGCATTTTCTTTTGTGCATACATACATTTCTTTTGGGGGAATAGTAGTAATGAGAAATGGAAAGGATGATTTGAGAGTTGGCAATTTTGATGTGTGATGTGATTACATGTAATTATTCCATCTGGCTCTTGTTCTCCGTCATTTGTGAGTATCATGCCTATCCATGCGCTCAGTGATCAAGCAAAGAGGTGACATAATTCGAATTCTCGTCACAGCTAAAGTCATTGTTCATCGGCCCATGGAATTCCTACTAGCGCTCACAGTCCACTGATTGTTGGTTACATATTGTAACCGAACTAATAAAGCGACAACGCCTCCCTCCCTATTCATCACAAGAGAGGAAAAGAAGAAGAAAGGAAGGGGTTAATTCTCATGATAATGATAATAAGACCCTTCGCTCGAAATTCCACAGGATATCGTTAATAGGAACTTTGTTGTCAGCTCTAGTCGAGTTAAATGGATGTATATGTACATAGGATTTACAAGATATGAACTTTAGGATCCTCTATACTCTTGCTGTCGATTGGGGTGCTGACTATACTGGATATACTGAAAGGGGTTTTAATAAGTGTTAGTGGTAATAGTAGTAGTCTTTGGGAAAGTGAAGTTCGCTGAAGTTCGTGGAATAGTCTTGTGTTTGTTGGAGTAGGTGGGGAGGTAGGTAGGGATTTGGGGAATGTTGGGATTGAGGTTATTTTTGAGAGGGGAATTAAGGATCTTGAGAGTACTGAGCGCAGAGATTGATGGGGAGGGGTGTGGGATGATGGTGATGGTGGGATGTGAAGTTTGGAGTTTGGGGTTTGGGGTTGGGGGGAGGTTGGGGTGGGATGAGATGAGATGAGATGGGTTGAGATGGGATAGGATGGAGTGAATAGAATAGAATAGATGAATAGTATAGTGAATTGAGACTTGAAGGTGCAGGTGTGTTTTGTTGCATATCTGGAGAACATCGAAATTGATATCACTCTTTAAGGGAATCAATAGTTTCGTAAGCACATTGCTTTAAAGATTACTAATCTCTAAAGTGAAAGGGATAAGATTGGCTGAAATAAATGACAAGGTTGGATAGGTATAAATGTGAGATGAGTGAATTGAGTTGAGTTGAAAAGAGGTTTGTTGCATATCTAGAGACCATCGAAATTGACGTCGCCTTCTTGGGGGGACCAATGGTTTTCAGAGCGCAAAGATTGTTATAGGAGTATATAAGGAGAGGTTGAGACGAGACAGGTGAATAGAAGTGATAAATAGTACAGTGAATTAGATTGACACTTGAAGCGAGGTTTTGTTGCATATCTCGAGACCATCGAAATTGACGTCACTTCTTAGGGAACCAATGATTTTGCGAGCGCATTGCTTTAAAGACTAGTAATCTCCATAGCGGAAGGGTGGGAGGGGCTGGAGTGAATGACAAGGTTGGACAGGTATGAATAGGATGAGATGGAATGAGTGAATGGGATGAGTCAATGGGATTAGTGAATAGAATCAATGATTCAGATCCGAACTTAGCTCTATCTTATGATAGAGAGATAGGTAGCTCTGTCAGAGCGAACACTGTCGAAAAAAGATGAGGGAGATGAAATATAAATGCGGACAAGTCGTTAGAGATTTGGCGACGTGAGTTTATACATACTTCCTCATCATGAAGGATGGATAATGCTACATACCACTAGTAGGAGATACATTGTGTGATCTAGAATCTCGAGTTCTCAGTAATGATGATTATGAAGATTACTGTGGTGTTGTTTTAGTATACTTGCTCGTTTATTGATGGAGTAGTGTTGGATTTGGGATGGTGTGAAGGTTAGACACGAGATAGGTTGATTTTTCATTGATGCGATTTTAATGTTGAGATTTCTACACCTATTGATTATTTCAACCCCCTGATTAACATAACGAGACTACAGATTATGTTTCATCACCATGCTATCGTCAACATAAAAATAGTCTCCTGTCTAGGAAACAAAGGAGACTCTAGATATAAACAGAATAATGACTTGAAAACATAAACTTCGCACCGAGAATGCGAGTATTATCTGTCAACTCGTCCTTTCCGCGTATATATTATAGAAAGCATCTAGTAGCGCAATCTCATGAAGCAAGTCCTTTCGCTTAATACACAAACTTAAACGATCCCGAGTCAATTTTTTTTTACAACGCCTGTGGTGGATCTTGAAGGATTGTTATGGGTCTATCAGATATATATCTAGGAGAATGGGAGAAATGGTCGCTATGGCTGCGTTTTCATTTTCCCATAAACGATCTTGATAATCGTAGAGAAGGAAGAGCTCGTAATATCCTAGATCGGTCTCTAACCACGGAAGTCCCTATTCAAGTGATGCACTATAGGGTTTTGTCCCAGAACTATCTAGTTGTTGTGGTGAATCGCGTGGATCGACGATTAAATGCTTCCCAGTTTCACCTTCCGCTCACACTTGACATTTTCCAAAGACGGGACAGTTGTTCATTAGTAGGACGTGCATGCATATAAATAAAGCAATCACAGATGAGCCATCGTAAACACAGGCCATTGAAAACAGCAATCTCATAATCGATCCATGAAGCGGAGACACTCAACCACGATATCCAGCAAATTTCTCCTCGCATCCTCTCAAGTCCCTTGCCGCCATCTCCTCATACACGCTACGTTCCCCCATACTCAACACCTTCCACTTCTCACCCAATAATATACCAAGTTGTCCAAACGAGAGCTGAGGATTCTCCTGACGAACTCTCTCACGATGAGCATTGGCAAAGAACATGTACGCGCTCATGGCTCGTTTAGGCGCATTGGGATCTTTCCTCTTGTTCTGAAGATCGATACGTTGAAAATGTTTTGCTAGGTTTGAAGGGGATGGTTGGGTGGTGTTTTGGCTTTGTTGTTCTTGCAATGGGTTTTGTTGTTCTGATAAGTTGAGTTGTGGATGGTGAATATAGGGGCTGGTGGGTGCTGCGGAGAAGGACGGGATTGATGGGTTATTCTGAGTGGGGATTTCATGATTGGGAGGGCCGGAGATCAGAGTAGGAGTGATGCGCTTCTTGATTTTAGGAGGTGTCGCTGAAGATGGTGAAGGATTGACGGGGTTGGATTGTTCCTCAATACTCCCATGACTGGTAATATCAGAGGTAGAAGCTTGTTCTATCTTAGCTGAAGCCCGAGAGTTTGTAAGAGTATGATCTGTTAGATCAACACTCTTGCTAGCATCGGTAGAGCGACTCGAGTCTGCATCCATTTCAATGCTATATTGTCGAACATATATGTGTGTGTCTCCTGATTGAGTGATCAACTTGGGATGCTAATCGGCTTGATAATTTTCACCCTCAATCTCTAGAATAAAAAACATAAAAAGGATACCTAGCAAAGATCTACTCAAGTACTTGGGTATTTATACATCATCTCAAGATTCATACAAAGTCCCTCATTACCTGCATTTGGACTGCAGCCTAGTTTTTGTATTGATCTGTGCACATTGTCAACCTGAAATACAACCTCGTGACTACAGGGAGAACTTTACACTACTGATGTGTAGGTATATAAAATGACCGCATCTAACGTTCAAGAAGAAGTCGGAAAGAGATCATGATGAAACTGGAGAAGGCACAATATCTACCCTAGCCAAAGGATGATTTGCGCAGTATGATCTCCACTTGGAGTCTGGAGGTAGATTTTATCATGAGAATACACGGAGATATTCAGTATTGACTAGAGACCATTGCAAAGTTACCTTTGTGAACTTGCGATCTCATACTGTACTATGTGGAGGAAGTTTAATGTTCACAAAAGTTTCAATGATCAAACCTATTCGGCGTTCAAACCCACCTCAAGACTCAAGACCACCTCAATATCTAAACCCATCAATACTCAGCCTCATCCCATTACTCCCCCTCATCTCGACATCCACCATCATTCTAACCACACCAAACCGTCTTAATATCTTAATATCTTAACATCTCAACATCTCAACCCAAATCTCAACCCCTCAATACGTAAGCACCAAACTCATCTCAATCCCCAAGCCCCCATTAGAACCCCAGTCAATTGCACCAGTTCAAAGAAACAAACAATATATATATAGATATATACCTAGAGATCCCAAAATAAAATACTACCTACCTACCTACTACCAACAGACACACCGATTCCAATTTGGATTCTTCCCGAAGCCTATCATAAAAAAGATGATATCAACATGAAAGAGAGTCAAGAAACCAACCGAGAATTATCAAGTGTGACAACATTTCTATGCCCTCTATACCTATACAACCCATATTCATACAACCCAAAATTCAAATTCCAAATCAAACATCTTGTACTCCGTATATACAAAGGTACACACAAACACAAACTTCTTTCTGTAGATTAAATCGTTATACAGAGTACGTACATATACATATATACATATAACTATATATACAAACATATATACATATAACTATACATACATATACATAACTATATATATATAATTATACATACATATATACATACATATATACACACACACACACACACAAACACACATAAACAAGATCTCATTCTATCAACAAAACTTCCACAACAGTCCATAACCATAGTGCATCCGCACTCGGTACAGAATACTAGGTACCTTTACTGCACAGTAAGTGTGGACTCTGTGGAAGATGCAATGCAATGCAGTAACACATTAAATTCATCAAGGATGCTCGCTACTCGGTCACGACTCACCTCGAGGCTGGACTTTTGGTGTCCGTAGCGTTTCTCTTCTGCTAATATAGAATATCATCAACTTGTGTTCTGCGATTCGTGAGGAGGTAGGTAGGTATGTATGTGTGATTCGGATTTTGGAAAAGGGATAGATAGATAGAGGTGTTATAGTATTGATACTGATACTGCTATTATATTATATTATATAGTGGGAAGATTCTATCGCGTACTAGACCGATAGATGTTATGTTTTCTTAATGTTGATGTTGATGTTGATGTTGAAAATTACATTGTACACCATAGAAGAAGCTTTTGTTTTCTCCCAAGCTAATTCTTTACTTTAGCTACCGGTATGGGGATGGTAGTAACGACGAATCGATAATCATCATCCATCCATCCATCCATCCATCCATCCATGGGATTCTCTTCTCCATTCTAGATTCAGGATCTTGGTAACATTATGTCATTATTTATTTCATCGATGATCGATCAATACTTCGTACCTAGCATTCATTGACTCTGTACTAATTAGGTATTGAGGTATTTCGTGTCTCCGTAGTAAAAACTAGGTATATAGAGTTTTTGACATTCTTAGGGTTTGTTTGATGACATGACGTCGTGGGATGATATTGTTATTACTATTAATTGTTTGTTCATCGAGGAGATGATCATAATCATATTTTCTATACAGAGGCTCGTGGGTAGTTGACACGAAATGAGGATGAGTCTATTCATGAATAACCATGATCATGATCCCATTCTCATTGAGTATCAATATAAGGTTACCTCATCATTGTGATCTTATCTGGGCAGCCCCAAGTTCCAACTACAGTACAAGTACTCCAAGGGGGAAATCCATCTCAGTAATCATAAGCTACTGATAATCACTATCATGTAAATAGCTAGTACAAGACTAAAATAAAATCGTGGGGGAAGTGGTATTATATCGTTGTACGTACAAACAGCCGTGACATTAGAACCACAGAGGTAAACTTTTCGATAAGAAAATTGTTGGTGCGTTCTCCTTGGCGTAAGCTTAAGCCGGATTTTAAAATTAAATTGTTTATTTCTTTCATTTATGACGGCGATCATACCAGAGACTATGCTTCTTTAGGGTGAGGGGGGGGGGTTGAGGGTTGGGAACTGTGAATTGTGAATGTGATAATGTTGATATCGATATTATTCATATCGCTCGGTATTAATATGGTAAATATGGTAAATATGGTAAATGTGGTATGAATTGTTTTAAATCCCGAGGAGGAAATAAAAACAAAGCATAAGCAAAAGGATGAAAGTATGTTCCTAGAGTATTTTTCTTATTCCTCTCTACCTAGGTACCTCTCTTTACCAGGTTTCTGTGCTTCGTCCTATTACAAAACCTCTAGGTAGTACCGATCCTTAGGTAATGACGCCACAATCACATTCATTCCTTTGTTTGTACAGGGAGCCCTGGAGAACCTTGGAACACACAAAACACAATTGAGGCTGGTGTTTGATATCGTCTCTTCCACTGTGCCACATGCACGCACACACCTCCTTCTTGCTGCAGGACAGACATGTTTATAACTCTGTGACTCATACACTTATAATACCACGCACGATAATCCAGAGATACATCCAATTTATCCGCGCCAGTGCATCCGAGTTATGCATATACTAAAGGGATAAATTAATCCTCGCAGCCTTCTCAACCTGAGAATAAATCGGGGGGTATACATTCTCATGCAAGTAATTAATATATATATATATCAAGGTAATAAATCGTATTCGATATATCACATTCTTCTCGTGTGATGAAGAGGCTCAGTGAATCAATATCTATCAATATCTATCAATATTGATGTTCCACTTGTATGGTACCGGTATGTAAGATCTTACAAAGTACAATCAAGATGCGAAGAAAAGGAACAAAAGGCCAGATAGATCATCATTGATTATTGGGCACTTGGGCACAGAGAGCGGATACCTGATGGAACATCGCAACAAAGGGTCCAACCGTCAAGACTCAAGACTCAAGACTCAAGACTCAAGACTCAAGACTCCAGAGCCTTTTAACTTTTCACCCAAGCGCCCCAAGGTTCTTTTTCACTTTTTGCATCTGAATTCACTAGCCGTGGCGCTATTAAAATGGTGGAACCTGGGAAATAATGAAAATCTCATTCTCTGATGGCTGATTGGTTATTGATAAGTGACCGATGGTTCGCCTCTTTGCCATGATTTTATGAAATCGGCTTCCGTAATGACTTCTGCTACTTGTTGTCCATATTTTTTTCTTCTTCTCTCTCGCTCTTCCTTCACACTCTCCTTCCTCCTCCACCTTCAGAGTACCGGTAGGTGGTTACGAATAATAACTGTGCCACTACAATGGAGAGGGTTTCAATCAATTCAACCGAAGACAAGTAAGTAAAAGTACTCTCAACACACCGACTCAAATTTATTCATCGTATGGTGGTATGTATGTATATACGTATCATATACGTATCATGTACGATGGCGAAAGGTAAGAAAAAGGAGACCTCTCAAGTGTCCGAAGCGGTTGGAAGGACGCGTTGCGTTGCCAGCGTGATGGATGTGATTTGACTCCTTTTTCTTCTTCTTCTTCTTCTTCTCATTTTTACCTGAATAAAAGATTTGGGTGGTGGTGTTGGTTTCAAGAGATTTCAGTAGGGTAGATCGCTGTAAGCCCAGTTTTCTTTTCATTGGTCGATAACGTCGCACTTTCCTCGCGCCGAACTGGAAAATAAAGGATTTAATTATGGGTTCCGTCCCAGTACGGGAATCCACAAAGACCAAAGTGGCAGTTCTCTTCTCTTATAAATAGAATCGTTGCTGCCACATTCAAATGAATTTTGAATTTTTTCCCGGTCCCGCTTTATTTCGGTTGTTCGTAATCTTACTCAATTTTACGATTTCAACCACAACCACATCCCACATCCACATCCAACCCAATCCAATCCATTCAATTTACCACCACGTTAGAATATACTCGAATATTCTAAGAAGCCTTAGTCCTCTTCCTCCTCTTCCAACCCACGAGAATACGTTGCGCTTGATTGTGCAAAGTATCATCCATTCCTTTAATAATTAAATCCGTCGGTTGCGACCTCGATTTACCATCGTGATTCACCTTCGCGACGTATCACCTTGATTCTTGGACCTTGGACCTTGTCGCATTGTCGCAACAACAACAACAACAACAAGAACTTCTTAAAACAAGAGCTTGCTATTCACACACTGATCATACCCCATCAGTCAGTGATTGCTAGGACTTCGACTCGATCATCATCTAGATCTTCCGGTCAATCACAAGTCATCTTCGTCGAGCAGCAACTGTAGGGGAGACATTGAGTTGTTTATCTCCCACAAACGGTACGGCTTTTATTTACGTCGGCGATTATAAACACACATTTATAGTCACATCTCTCTATCCCCAATCTCTTCTACTTTCCTACCTCATCGGCGGCTACTTTCGAGTTACGCTTTCAAATCAAGATACGCTCTCTCGAACGTCCGCTGTACCCCATCTACTCTCGGACCTTCACGATCCTT